TAGAGAGCTTAAGATCCGCGTTTTCTTCTACGGCAAACGTCAATAAATATCACGTGACCTACAATTTGGCGCGTTTGCCGTTCGTCGGTTCCCGTTTCAACGCGAAAGGTCAAGTTTTGGCGGCAATTATAAACGTGAGTACTTCAAGCTATTTTTTTTATCTTTTTCTGTCATGGAACCTCCATGTCTCTTACTCATTTTGATATTTTGTGCACAAAGTTGAACTTATCTTGGTAATTCATGTTAAAACCAATGCAAAAACGCAATTTTAGGAGTTTTTGCGAAGGGTCTTTCTCTTTCTCAAAACTATGGCAATTTAATCGAGCGTATTTAAATAGGAAGTTCTTATAAACTTATCTTATAAGATTGAAATGATTTTATGTTGACAGAGAATGGCACCTTTTCGTTGGCCAAAGCCCGAACACGATAGAATGCTGTGTTGTGAATTTATAGAGAGAAAACCAGCGAAACCAGACGACTGGACAGCACTAGCTCAAACTTTGTGCCTGTTGTTTTCTAATGAAGAAAACAGAATACAAATGACAGGGCGCTCTTGTCGCGAGCATCTTCTTTTACTCGTTAAAAAATACAAAGCAAATGACCAAAAAGCTCTAAAAAGGCAAGTGATATAATATTGCTGAAGCTTGTATTAATTAAAGCTTTAAGAAAGTGAATTGCACTTTGAAAAACTAAGACTTTATTACTACAAAACAAGCTAAAACAAAAAACAATAATGTTATATAAATAAAATTTTCCACTTAGTCAGTTTTAACTCTGCACACTTTTCGGCATTTGCATTTCTATTAAGCAGGATWTACAAATCTATTTCAAGGTTTTGGAGCTTTAATGAGCTGAAGTCATATAAGWATAATCCCCACTAATAATATTATTTTCTATAATTAACAAGGTCTGGGACAGAAGAAGAAGTAAGTGAATTAAATGTGCTCTTGGAAGATATTTCAAGTTATTTAGAAGATCAGGCTGACTCTTCAGCAAGTACCAGCAAAAGAAAAAAGACTGAGGAAGACCATCAAAAGGGTTTAAAGATGAGAAAGGAAGCAATGGAGACTTATACCAGTAAGAAACTGATATATACCATAATTAGTAACTATGCTGCCACAGCCCAAACAATTTTAATTACCATTTACAGAACAGTGGATAGTACTATATATATCACCATCCATACAACTGGCCCCAGATGTTGAGCAATTTCCTATATTTGATTTTGATTATTTCCTTTTTTTCTTTTTTGCTAATGAAGAAAGACAAAATTATGATAACGATTCTAGTGATGATAATGATGATGAGGATGATGACGAGTCTTCTGATGATGATTCCACTTTATCAACTCCAAGGAGGAATACCAAAAAGAAACYACAAAAAGGTACTGTATACTAGTAAATTGTTATAAAGAAAACAACAACAAAGAAACTGAAAATTCAATGAGCTATTGTGAGCTATGAGTACACATATATTGTATTTTGTTTACTGAAACCTTTTTAGGGCAAGGCAAGTTTAAACCAACAAGATGTGGAAAGGGTCAGATGTTAGAATATCTTGCCCAGAAACATCAAGACAACTTCAAATTAAAGGAAAAGAAGTTGGAGCTGGAAGAAAGAAGGATGGCTTTAGAAGAGAAGAAACTTGAAGTTGAACAAATGAAATGGAACACATTAAAACACAAATAAGTAATTTAACTTCTTCTTGTAATACAGTAAAGTAATTACAAAGTCATTGTTTTGTTTTCCTCTTACAGTAGCACACTTGAACCACTCAAGTGAGTTAAGGCCTGGGTCAGCATATGCAAATTAGATAAAAGTGGTTTAATTTTATATCTCAGTTAATTCTCAAACGATTTCGATAACACTTTGCAGGTTTGTAGTTTTGAACGACTTTAACATTTTAAGACTGTTAAAATCTCTATMGGCAGGTCACATGACATGTCATGTGACATTTCCATGGAAAGAAATTCAATTGAAAATGGGGTCCAGAACATACATTGAAAATGTCGGTTTTAGGTTAATATTATCTCTTAGTAGGTTGTCTTCAAGTCTTGTCCTAGAATGGTTGTCCATMACTTGCCGTTAAGGAGATATTTGGTGAAATAGGTCACGTGACCTAAATTCACTTCTGAAAATCTGCTGTTTTCTCCTTATTTTATTTAGAAAGTCATCCATTCTAGGACAGGTCTTGTTGGTTTAGGTCTACTAAATACTTTGAAATCAAAAAAACTTTCATTAAAGTACATTCTCATTACCCCATTTTGAAATTACTGTTTTTTTCGTCTTTTGGGTCACGTGACCTCCATATTTGGACAAAACATATTTAAAAATTCCAAGGATCATGATTCTCTTCATGACACCAAAGCTTATTCCTCTACAGTAAATGTTAGTTAAAATATAACGTTTTTAATTTTTTTGATATCGCCTAAAATCCCAGGCCTTAACTCACTTGAGCATGAACACCATGAAACAAAATAAAAAGTAGCTCATGTCTATTAGTCAGAATTTACCGACTAATAGTCTATGTCAATGAACTGGAACAGCATGCATTATGTTTCATTGCATTCTTATTGACATATGCACACTGTCTTGGTCAGTAATTAGAGGCTATGCATGTATTTTTAATACTATAATTTGCTTTCAATGGTTATATTTCATGGTACAACTACCTACTTTAGCTGAGGTTTGCRTGATTTACATATTAATTACATTTATATTATCCTTATTAATAATAAATGTTTTTTTATATCATTGCGTCTGTAAAAGAATAAATTATTTACAACATTTTGCAAATTTATATATAATATAACTGAGTCAGTTTAATAATTTGCTATTGCTTTGGGCTTTATACAAATAAAAAACATTTCCCAGGTCATCTTTTAATTTTTTTTTCCAGCTCTATCCTCAAATAACATGTAATAATAAGTTGTGTATTGATCTTGGTGAAAAAAAGTCTTGATAAATAGCCTGTAGGATTTGTACCCTACCCTAAAGATAGCCCTTCAGCACTCATACCTAGCTTACAAANCCAAGGATCATGATTCTCTTCATGACACCAAAGCTTATTCCTCTACAGTAAATGTTAGTTAAAATATAACGTTTTTAATTTTTTTGATATCGCCTAAAATCCCAGGCCTTAACTCACTTGAGCATGAACACCATGAAACAAAATAAAAAGTAGCTCATGTCTATTAGTCAGAATTTACCGACTAATAGTCTATGTCAATGAACTGGAACAGCATGCATTATGTTTCATTGCATTCTTATTGACATATGCACACTGTCTTGGTCAGTAATTAGAGGCTATGCATGTATTTTTAATACTATAATTTGCTTTCAATGGTTATATTTCATGGTACAACTACCTACTTTAGCTGAGGTTTGCATGATTTACATATTAATTACATTTATATTATCCTTATTAATAATAAATGTTTTTTTATATCATTGCGTCTGTAAAAGAATAAATTATTTACAACATTTTGCAAATTYATATATAATATAACTGAGTCAGTTTAAYAATTTGYTATTGCTTTGGGCTTTATACAAATAAAAAACATTTCCCAGGTCATCTTTTAATTTTTTTTTCCAGCTCTATCCTCAAATAACATGTAATAATAAGTTGTGTATTGATCTTGGTGAAAAAAAGTCTTGATAAATAGCCTGTAGGATTTGTACCCTACCCTAAAGATAGCCCTTCAGCACTCATACCTAGCTTACAAAGGGACCATTCACATTTTATTGGGAGGAGCCGAGGGGGCTGCTGGTTTTGATCTCTTACTGATTATGCAAATATGTCTCCAATTCTGGAGGGTTCAACCCRAAAAACTGTCCTGTCTGGGAACCATATAAACAAATATGACAGTTTGAAAGAATTGCTGATGTTGAATACAGTTTTCCAACCGGTTGTAAAAGAACCTTTAAATTTTTGGAGAAATCTAAAAAGGCAAAATACTTAATGATGTTCCCATATCCCCATTCAACACTTGTTCTTACAGCTGACATGTCCTTGTTAAAAGATTGCTCTGCTAAACTTAACTGTGCACCACGAAAAGGTGCAATAATGTGACGTCTGACAGGATAAGCAGGATCTCCATATAGGACAAAAGGGTCACCGTTTGGCTTATTCATTCGCTGTTCCAGTTTGGGTAATAGACCACTAGAAGTCAACATAAAGGCATCATGTCTCCGACCTTCCATAGGACCAAATARATGGMAAATAATTCCATTGRGAGCAATTACTGACTGAAAATATATAGGAAACAAACAAATTAAAATGCTAATATTATTGCACAATATTTAAGTCTCACAGATCACAGTTAAGTGTGTTGTGGCTCTATACAATCGATGTTAAGTTGTAATGAATTATTATTTATATCACCTGAAATTTTATACAATGTGTTCGCTTGTGACCAGAATACATTATTCTTTGGTTTCGAATGGGTCTGCATATCGACTTGGCTGTGCCATCTATGAACCCCCAGCATTGTTTTAGAGGTGCCCCTTTATTGTGAATGGCTTTTGAAAAATTATCTGGATCTAGCCAAACAAGGTCCAAATCATCAAGAAGATGAGAATATCTGTTGTAAATGTCTGAAAGTATCTAATACATAAATGTAAAAAAAAAAAAGATTTTGGTAAAATGTAATGAACAAAAAATACCTACAATTAGACTATGTATTTAATAATCCACAGTACTATTTACTTACTATTATTACCTGGTGAAAAATCATACTTAGTACTGGTTCCTGTCTCCCAAAAAGGTGAACTAAGTCGCACCATCTGTTTGGGTATGCAAGTCTTCTTAACAAAATCATCAATGCCTCTGAAGCAGGTGAAACTGTCCCTTGTTCACATATATATTCCTCTGGCAATTCAAGAGCTGTTGCCAATCTGTCAAAATCTTTTTTTTGAAATCTAATGAGAGTAAAAATCATGTAAATATCACACAAAATTAAGTACTGTTTTTCGAAAGCATATTCAAAAAGATAATAACCTGCACACACTAAAATAAGTGCATTATTTAAGATAAAAAAAATAGAATTGGCATTATTTAGTAGTGGGAGTCATGAACTAAAAGCAAGCAAAACTTTAGTAAATTCAATGAATATAAACTACTGTTTCTATTGTTTGCTTTTTTTGAGAAGTTAAAGTCTAACCTGAAAAAGTTCTCAAAGTCTTCATCACTTATATCAGCTGGATTGATTCTAGCGCCAATATTTCGCTCTACAAACATAGTTTCAAGTAAAAGCAGTTCTACATCATCGTCATCATCGCTACTGTCGCACTCGGAGCTGTCACTACTTTGATCTTCAGTCAACATTAGAAGCATTTCCTGCATATATTGCCTAGAAATTTTGTGAAACATACAAAAAATACATTAAATAATTTTCCCTTCAAAAAAATTTTGAACTGAATTGTTTGAATGATGGTTGTAAAGTAGAAAATATACACTTACCTTCGCTTGGCAGCCATCTTTGTTTTGGTTTTAATGGCAACAAACAGCGCAGGAAAGACTGGTAACTAGCTATCGGCTAATTCTACGTATGCGTGAAACTTACGCTCAAATGGACAACGGCAAACGACAAACGGCAAACGGCAAATTGACGTTTCACGTTTCATGAAAATACGCGGATCTTAAGCTCTCTA